TACTATTATTAACTTTAAAAAATGAAAATATGTGGTTTTGCGGATAAAATAAATAATCCACTAAAGTTGTTTTGTTTCCGAGGTAACCATTTTGTAATTTGTAGGAAAATGAGACAAAATTTTGAATTTCCTGACAAATCGCATAATGTCGACTGTCAAATATTCATGAAACTTCAATTCTTGTATCCGTGTAATCTTAATAATGCATAATTTACAAAACAAAGATGTAGATCTAATTAATTTGAAATTCTTAAACAAGAAAAAATCTATATAAGTGCAAAATGTATATAGCAGTGCATGTACAGATTAGTTATAGCTAAATACTTTCACATTCTGATCACCTATTAAATATGTAAATTTCCTCACCCCCACCCCATCCCCCACTTCAATGAATTTTTTTTTTTTTTTAGAAAACTTTAACTTACACATTTTGCCGACTGTCACATTTTGCTGGTGCTGTTTCAAGATGTATTCAAATGGGTGTGCATTTGCTGGCCAATAGTTTTAAACACCATCTGCATGGACCTCATGTTTTTCCTGCACCAATCACCATGAACCTCAAAAAAATCAATACAATAAATGGCACAATATTACATTTGCAGACAGACAGACACACAGACATTCAACGCGTACAATTTTACCATATTCCTTTTATGCCCATTACTTGAAATTAATTAATTTAAAAAATGATTAATTTGCTCCCACCTGAAATCACACTGTTAACATTGGTAATTAAGTTAATTCAGCAGAATAGGTAAAAATCATGTTTTACTGACAATAATTGTACATTCGACAAATACATGTAATGCAATTGCTAAAAAGTATGAGAAAAATCAGTTAATGTGCATGTTCACACACATCGTTTAACTCCCAGACAACTGTAACCAGCTTCACCGCGCAACTGATCTGAAATGATGTATGTCATGTATGTGACGTGCCGATCATCGACATGTTCCAAAAACATTAAATTGTTATTTACAAATATTGTACTAAGATATACCTCTTACCTCCTGTGTAAAATACAAATGCCCATCACCTATATACTGCTAAACACTGCACTGAACAGTTTTGATAACTTTCTGCTAAGTCTACTTTCACTTCGACCTTGACCCCGATTGAATACCGATCCCGAACTCATTTGTGAATTTTTGTGTATTGAAAATAAACCACAGTGGAGCATGTACTTCTATATAATTGCTTCTTAATCAAATTATACATTTATGATTCTGAATAAATAAATTATATAAATCAATACATTAAATCTCCATGATACATGTGTAAACAATGGGTGATACATGTATGAGCATGTTGACTGTTCGGGGGGGGGGGGGGGGGGGGGGGCTAAACACTTTATTTATGAATCAATTTGTTTAAAAATGTGTATCAACAATTAAAGAATTGTTTTTTTCATAAATTTGAACAACTGAAAATAATAGAAAACACCAACTTTGAAATAAATTCAAGATTTATGACATCTTTTACTTACTTATGGGCTTCCTAATATGGGTACAGTCCACTAATTGTTTTCCCATAGGCGACAATGTTAACGTTTCTTCTCATAGCGATGTCCCTAATTTTCGTTCAGAAGTGAGTGACCCCTCAAATCAAAGCACATCAACTTGTCTTTCCTTGGTTAAAATCTCGAGGTGGCATGTCAGATTCGTTTTCCGGCAAAATGCGTCTGTCTGCGGGGACCTCTAAAAATGAAAGTGAAAGTAGGGGAATTTCAGAATTATCACTGGCGTTATAATACACAAAATAATTCAGCTGATCTTCTCGATAAATTACATTTTCCAAGCTTTTTTGGTAGGAAAGATACTCCTTATCAACAAGTGTGAGGCTCAATTCAGTACATCTGCCCAATTTTTTTTATGCAAGTCTGCAAATTATGGAACTTGTAATTTTTTCTGCACTACTTTCTTCTCCTACCAATTCTAAAAATAATTAGTGGGATGTACCCATATATATTTCGCAGTGCGAACATATAGATCAGGCGTATCCTCAGATTCAGAGGAAATGACTTAAACTTCCACCTCCAAGCGCCATATGAAACATATATGGAGATAACGAACAGTATTCAAGACCAAAAGTTCAGAAAACAATACAAAACAGGAGCAGAGCAAACGCGGACTTCCAAAACATCAGGTCTGTGAGGAGCGAGCATCCCCTGCCGACCGGTCACGCCCGCCGTGTGCTCCTTGTCATGATTAGGAAATAACGGAAAAATCTGTCGTCAATTCAATGTATAAATAATGGACTAACAATTAGAATGAAAAACTGACTCAATGATAAATTGTTTTTGCTGACAAGATCATGTAGCGACCATAGAACTTACGAACCGATAACTTTAAACGAGACTGCTAATATCTTGTTTCATCAACTTGTTTGTCAATAAATTACCTCGTTTTAGAAATTGTTCATACGTATAGCATGCTCTTGTGCATCGAATCAACTGAGCTATAGAATTTCTTTACACAGTTGAAGGTATATTGCTGCATAAGTAAGGGAAGTTGACAATAGAAAAATTAAAGTCGTCACGTTTATCATAGAGCTTGGTTGTTAGACTACCATTAATGTCTAGAATATCCAAGTATGAGACAGGTGTTTCAACTCTGTGGTATATTTTATCCCAAGCTCACCAAGATGTATCGTATCGACATAGGAAAGGAAATTACCGTTGTAAATTGACAACGCGTCGTCGATATATTTAAATGTCGTGTTGATGCCACGACAAGCGTTTCTTCTTTTCATGCGTAAGATTTTACACACTTTTTCCCGTGCAAGAGCATGACTTTAAACACAGTTTGACAGACAATCTTTATAACACGCAGCAGATTCTTTTTGTAAGGGATACCAAATTACTGATAATGAGAATGTACCCATCAAGAGACCTTTTTTAAAAAAAACTGAGCTTTATACAGTAAATAAAATCAGATACGAAATATAGAAGGTTTTCAATGACATACGCACAGAGAGGAATCCTGTAGTGCTCAACGGTTTCTATATTGAGGAGGGGGAACTTTCAAAAAGATACTACAGAACTGTAATACACTCGTACCATCAGATCGATATTTACAACGATAGATTCCAATACAGATGAAATAACCCAATCGTAATGGGTTAGGTACATGTATATCAAAATAGCCATATTTTTAAAATGACAAAATTATAGGTCAATCGGAGATAAAATTTAACAATTTTTCCATAAAATGAAATCAGTCAAAATAAGCAGATCATTATAGAAAATTTGGGAAAAAAAACCTACATATATATTCACAAAACCTAGAGATTTTCTTTTATTGAATTTCGGTTAAAAACACATGCATATGGTCCATGTATTGCAGTCCTTTTTAAAGGACAGCAACTTTCCTTAATGTAGTTTATTAACATTAGGTAACCATGCATTTGTCACCATGCTTTTACTATGGGAGTAATTAGCTCCTGAAAACTGAGTAGACACATGTAGATTGTTCAATGAGGACGTTAACAGCATTCAGCTGACATTAAATTCACTGACCGTTTTCATCTTAATATACTTATTGTTAGTCTATTATTTATATACTTAATTGACGACGGATTATTGTTAGTCCATTATTTATACACTGAATTGACGACGGATTTTTCATGTATTTCCCGATCATGACAAGGAGCACACGGTGGGTGTGACCGGTCAGCAGGGGATGGTCACTCCTGCATGGCACCTGATCCCACCTCTGATGTTTTGGAGGTCCGCGTTTGCTTTGCTCCTTTTTTGCATTGTTTCATGGACTTTGATATTGAAACCTGTTCGTTATCTCCATATCCTTCTTCGGGACTTCACTACTCCTACTCCTCCCGTGATGGACGAGATATTAAAATGCATTAAGTATAAGGTTAAATTTATACAACCTTCATCATGATTGGCGCAGAACCAACGATGTAGGGAAAATCTACTGAATCGAAAGCTTAATAATACGCATAAATTATACACTGATGAATTACTTAAATGATTTAAAGAAATTGATAATCGAAAGTAAATTGATAAACTGATCAACTGATATTGATGACGATGAATGTGAGGAAACAGCTGATGTCGAGGAGAAATCAAATGGTTGAAAGTAAGTGACATTCTTGTTAGCTCTAATGAAAAAATAACAATTATTAAAACAAATTCCAAATTTATTATTGCTGCTTTGTAAATGATATTTCAAATATATATGTCCACTATATGAAAGCATATTGTTTCCCAATACGTTCACGATCATATGATAAATATTGAATAATGAGAAATATTTGATAATAAGACAAATGTCTTAGACAAAGTAAAACTAAATTTATAATAAAACAATCATAAAATCATATTAAATGATTTACATTCTGTTTTATAATGTTCATGAATAACTATGACTAGTACATAACGTTTACCTAGAGGATACTGCAAGGTAATTTTTGTATTGGAACAGAATATGATATCAACACGATCAACATGTAAAAGGATCCAAGAAGAAGTCGTAGTAGGCATGTTGATCTCAGTTCAATGGTCTTGTGATATTAAAATCATGTTATCATAGATAAGAAAATTTCAATGGGCTAATACTATAGTGAATATAATTATATCTCTGTTCATCTCATCGAATCTACACCAACCCTTCAATAAAGTGCCTGATAAAGGGGGTTAACAATATCGGATAATGACATCACACTATGAAAAGAGATGGGAACGTAAATATCAAATATAGATGATGTAAGCTTATCTTTATTCTTTTTTACATGTACCTGTTATTTCAGATTTAAAATTTGAAAAAAAAAAATGCGAAAAAGGTGTAAAAAAAAAAAAAGAGGGAAAAGTATGTGTGCAAATGGATTTATTATATAGTGCAAAATATGTCCAAATAAATTTATATTTTATGCCAAAATTAATTGAATTATGTTATTTTGTTTGGTAGTAACTAAAAAATCGTGTTAAATTTGCAATAAACATATCAGAAGCAGTCTGAAAGTTTACCTTCAGAATTGTTTGGCTACCTTAGGAACATGCAAGCATATATACTGTTTTTGCTGTATGATCCGATCAAGAGAATTTGGGTTTTATCATCATAACTCAGGCTCCGTAACTCTTTAATTCCTCTTTGGTGTGAGTGTTTATCTGGCAGTGAAAGGATTTGGCCGTCCTTGTCAATCTTATGAACTATGTCAAGGCCGGCATCAGAAACTAGAATATTCGAATTCACGTCCGTACAGATACCACGTGGTATAAATTGTCTCCAGGATGGAAGTCCTCTGTATGTGAAGCGATATCTTCCTCGACTGTCTGTAACTACTACACCAAGGTAATAGTCAGAAACAATGACATCGCCATTTTGGTTTTCTGTTATGTACATCGGAAAGGCATATAAGTCCTCCCCTGTTTTACTTTGTTTGATGGTCTGGACTAACTGTCCATCGCTATTGTACCGTGTGACCTTGGCCTCGATGTACTTATCAGCATCCTTGTCATATTTCCCCATTCCAACCAGAATATCCCCATTGAAGCGGGAACACCATACGCAGATTGGATCCCATGGTTCTGTTTTCGATATCAGTCTAATTTTTGTTTTATTGTCCGTACACAGCTTCTTAATGGTATAATCCTTGTCTATATATATGAGCTCACCGGTAATATTCACCGAGTGCACACCCCAAACACTATTTATTTCTGTGAGACCATAGATTGCTCTACCTGTTTGATTTGTCAGAATGAGATTTTCTTTATCACTGACCCAGATGAGGTGTGACGTTGCTCTAGAAATGTGATTACATTTATTGACACCCGTTACTGTAATGTACTGCTTGCTTCCAAATGTGGACACAATTTCCCTCAGTTGTTCATTTTTCGCCACTATCTTTCTTTTAGTCTTATTTACTTGAATGTCTCCAACTAACCTAACCACATCTTCTAAATTGATTTTGTCACTCGGGTATGATGTCAAGGTAGGAACAAAAATTCTTTTCGGGGGTGTAGGTGCTCTCTTAAAAATCAAGAGAAATTGAACCGGTCTTTTTGGTGATACCTCATATTTTTGTTCGAATTTCTGTAAAGTGATTCTTTTTTGTTTATGTAGTTTAGCGATCAAACACGAAATAGCTTTACAGCTTTCCTCATGAAGAACTATATCCATTTCAGATTTCAATTTCTGAACTTTGCATATCATCTTTAACATCATATTTAGCTCAAAGCATATCGATTCTCTTCGGCAAATTTCAACATCAAAATTAATATTTTCCAGAACAGTGCAGCAATTGGGAATTATTTTGTTTTCGACATAATCAATTTTGTATTTGCATGGTTGTGTAACAGTTATAGGAATATGTTTAAGAATATGTGTTTTGAACTTTTTGGTGTCATGTCGCCTGTACGTGTTTTCCAAACAAGCTGAACAGAATGGGAGTTCACATGTTACACACCAATGGTCATATTTCTTATCTGGGTGTTTTTCACATATATCATGCCTATATACTGCCTCATTATTTAAGCCCCATAAGTCCAAGTCTATGCTGTGCAGTTTTGTACAATGGACATCGTAGCATTGGATGGTAGTATGCTTATATTTTGTGAAAATCTTTTCTTTTCTCTGTGTTGTCAAGACATTCCCTATAACAAAACTACTCTACAATAGAAAAAAAAGATATACACTAGTTTTGAAAGACATGAAACATTAGGTTTTCAGTTTAAGGAGAGAGTTACATGCAATTTAAATTGTGTTGTAGCATCACATGCACCGAATTCTTTGTAGTAAATTTCCCTGAAGATTAATTCCATCACGAAAACTTAGATGCATATACTTTTTTGATGTTGAAAGATCCAAGGAAACACTATAATAAATGAAATCTATGAAAATTAAATTCACTTAAAATTCGCCGTTATGATGAGTTTGTTTTGCTACGATAAACTCATGTTCTTTAAAAGGATATGAAAAAGAGGTTGTAACAGACTTTTTCAGATTATTCGGTAAACTTTTATATACACACGTGCTTTGAATTGCCGAAGGACTTTTCCTTTATTTCTCTACTATGACAGGGAGCACACGGCGGATGTGATTGCATCTGATCCCATCTAGGATGATTTAGAATTCTTACATGTATGTAATTTGTAATGTTTGAATAAATTTTGAGTTTAAATACTGTTTGTTATCTCCATATATTTCATGTGCTTGATATTATCCTTCTTCTTTTTCTACATGCTTCACCTTCTCTCCCCTTTCTGTCTTTTTTATTCTTTCCCTTACTACAAATTGTACCTCCAATAAAACCTTCTAATGTCCTGTCAGTAAATACTAATTCTTCTCCCCTCCCCAGGATTCTATTTGGCGCCTCATTTACTCGCCACGTGCACGGCGCCTTTTAATTTTGATTTGCGCTACCATTTAAAAATTGACTTTTAAAATTAAAAGTAAGTCTTCCTGGAACCAACCCAGTGTGTCCGTATAATAAATTTAAATTGGCGCCTTAAAGCGTTTGCCTGGAGACTAATTAAAGATTTTCATTGGTGACTAAAACTTTATTGATAAGGAGCCAACTTTAGTCTGGTCCGATTTATAGAGAAAAATACTTCTAACGGCAAATAATTATTATTTGGTCCAGCATAGTTTTTTAACCTATTTCGGGTATGCTAAATCCGAAAAAAATATGCTGGTCTTCATGAAAATGGCGTTAAAGAGGTCAAAATGTCGATTCAAAATGGCTGACATCCAATTTTTCTAATTTTCTATTAATACCGTTCAAAAAGGAGAAATAATGTGTGAATATCTCAGTGAGTGTTATACAAGTATAAAAATGATAATAGAATGCTAACATTATTAGTTTCACTCAGAAAATTTAGTCGTTTCTACACTTAATTCGAATTTTCTCTGATCTTTTGTTCTATTGATCTATATTCCGCTTTGTTCAGGATTTTACATTTGCAAATATCCATACACTGCAGATTTGTATTTTTTCCTCTGCATCTCACTATTCTTCAACTGAATGATGGCGCAGCTGTAAGTTAAAAGCCAAAATGGCGATTCAAAATGGCGGATATTCATCTTTTTTTTCAAATTATGTCCTAATTTCGTTCATTTAGGAGAAAGGATTTGTGAATATCTTACTGAGCGTAGTACAACTATGTAAAATGCCAAAAGAACACTAATTTGATCA